ATTTAAAAATATTATCTTGTACTGTTGGGTACATATTTAATAAATAACATCTAATTGTTATTGGACAAATTAATCGAAAATATTCATATCGATAAATTTTAAGAAATCAATACATAAGTAATAGTAATCTTAAGTATTTAAATTTATTTTAGTTCATTAATTTCTTAAAATATATTTTCATTAATTACTATACAATAAGAACTATTTTTTATTTTATTTTTTCCTATAATTTAATTTTAGTATCCAATAATTATTAGATTGTTATTGTTTATTATGTTTTAATTTAAAAATATAAAATATTTGATATTGAGAGTGTTACAAATGATAGTCTAAGGGGTAAGTGTTACATAAGCTATACTTTAGGAGTGTAAAGCGAATTTAGCCCTATTTTAAAATTGATTTTTCGTAACTACAAATTGTGATAATTTATGTATTGTGCAATTCAAGAGATTATGACAAATATAAAATTTAAAATTGGATTTGTCACCCTATCCAATTACAATTTGGGATTTTGTCATCCTAAAAAATTAAAAATAAAGGGTAATCAGTATTGATGAATGTTGAGGAGTGGAAGACACGTGTGAGTTAGACATTAGATCCAGCCCAAGTTTGGGCTATTCATTCGTGAGGGCTACGCAAATATATAATAAAGTTTAATAAAGATAATAACTCAACGCCTCAACGTGAATAATCTTATGGACAGGAATTTTAAATAACACTAGTGGTCATTATTCATCTTTTTGTCCACACATTTATATATTTTGACTTTCAACTAATTATTTATTATATATGTATGATGCAATATTCGAATTCGCTTCCTTTTTCTCTTTATTTATATATGAAAACCTGGAATAATTCAAACACACAGCTGACCATAAGTGTATCTATGAATATAAAACTATTACTTGCACAACATTCAAAATCCTGTATTGTATTTTAACTTTTATGAATTTCACGACCATTATTATGAACATCTCTCTCTAAGAGCATCTCCCACCCATCACCAAATCCTATAATTATCACCTAATTTAGGTGTTTTTAGTCTCCCAACCTAAATTTCTAAATCACCATTACACCTAAAATTATAGTAATTTAGTTTAGTCTCCCACCCTGGTCAAACTCTATATCACTATATCCCTAAATCTTATATTTTCAGCAAATTTTTTGGTGAAGAAATTTTCATCTCCCACCCATCCACCATTTTACCATTTTTTTCACCAAATCCTATTTTTTCTATCAAATATAGAAGTGAAAATAGGATTTGGTGTAATTAACACCATTTTATAATTAGCATATAAAATTATTATATTAACTAATTTCATGGGATTACCAACTTATAAACATATTTATAGTAAATATATTAGTTTTAATTAGTGAATTAGTTTTACAAATAACGATGTTAATGTCTTACAAAAATCAACTTTATTTCAAGCACTGACCCATGGTACATCTATATCAGTTAATTATTCAATCAAAGGTAGGAATTATAATGTCGGCTATTATTTAGCTGACGGTATTTATCCTAAATGGTCAGCTTTAGTACAAGTCATTAGCCATTAGTGAACCCAAATGCGCCAAAGAAAAATATTTCGTACATAAACATGAATCATATCGCAAAGATGTAGAACGGGCATTTGGAGTTCTTCAAGCTTGGTTTGCAATTATTAGAGGAGCACCTCGATTTTGGAAGAAAGAAGACTTACATGAAGAAGAACGTGGTGGGTATCTACACGGCAACCTTGACTATGAAAGTTTATCCACTGTCCCGCCTGCTAAGCTTTCAAGAGATTTAGATAATACAAAATATGTTAATTTTCTTAATCAACATCAAAATCTGATCAATCGACGAGAGCATAATGAACTATATAAGGAGAAGACTGGTAGCACAGTTGTGGGATAAACGTGATCAAATAGATAATGTTGAAGATGATGACGATAATAATGGTGAATGAGACTCATCTGCTAATAAAAGGTGCTCTTTCCTTGTAAGGACAATCAAGGTTTTAACGAGGCCCTTGTTATCAATGAAATAATTTTTTTGGCCAAAAAAAATGTTGTAATGTTTTTATAATTAATTTATGTTGTAATGTTTATATGATTAATTTATGCTGTAAGGCTTTTAGGAAATAATTAGTGAAATTATTGCTTAATTCATGGTTTTATTATATGTATAATAATCTAAGTCGATTTTCATTCATGTTTCAATAAATTTTTGATATTTATCATAATTTTTAAGTTATATACTTAATAAAATCAATGTTTAAGATCAAATTCATAATCAATATTTTGGTAAAAAAATAGACTAAATTTACAATTAACATTAACATTATAATTTTGTAATATATTTGGTGAAATGTCATGGGAGACCAAACTAAATCATATTCTCTATAAATGGTAAAATGGTGAAATATTAATATTTTATTATTTGGTGTAAAATTTGATGGAATTGGTGGGAGACCAAATACACTATTTTGTCACTAAAAATAGAGAAATTATAGAATGGTGTGCTACGGGTGGGAGATAACACCATTTTTTCACCACCAAAAATAGGATTTGGTGAAAAAATGGTGTTAAGGGTGGGAGATGCTCTAAGAGCAACTCCAACCCACAAATATCAAAATAAATTATCAAATATTTATTTGATATTTTATATTTAGTTTTGATGCCTAATTAAATTTATTTGCTCCAACCATAGATATCAAATAGTTGATAATTAAAAATAAATAATGTGATTTTATATTTTAATTAACACATGTCATTTTTTAATTGGCTATTTAGGTGGTTAAGTTGTGTAACTTCTAATTGGCATTATTTCTTCCGGATGTATTTTTACATCCCAAAAATTAAAATATCAAAATAGAAACTCATTTGATAACTCCATTGGAGTGGAAAATTTCTAATTTGAATCATCAAAATGGTAGTTAATGATTTTGATAACCCATTTAATAACTCCATTGGAGTTGCTCTAAACATTGAATTTTCGTTGTGTTGGAAGAGAATTTTGCAACAAAGTTGAAACTTCCATAGGTTCATTTTCTTGCATAAAATAAAAAGATAAAAGTCTCAATTAATTATTTTCATAAAACCGAATGGACTTAATTTTAGAAAAAAAAAAGAACTTCGAGTTTTTAAACAAGTAAATTGAACTTTCATATAATATCAAATTTTATAGTATTAAATTGAACCAAATCTTTGCATATCCTACCATTAGCCTTTTAGTGGGTGTTTGACTAAACTTATAAGTTGTTAAGAACAATTATAGGTGGTTCTTGTAAAAGCTTACTTAAAAGCAGAAGTTATGAATTGTGAGTTAAGTTGAGTTTTTTTAAAATTGGAGGTATTTGCAAATTTACTAGAATATAAACTTAAATAGAAAAAACAGGGTCACGAGTGTTTAACAAATTATAACTTAAAGTTGTTTATTTTAAGATAAGTAAAAACAAAAGTTTATTTTGCAAAAACTAAACAATAGATTATGAGAAAAAAAAACTCATAATCTATTTGTAAAAACTTTTACAAACACCACCTTATAATATGTTTAAGAATTTATAAGCTCTTTCAAAGTGTTTGATCATATTTTTTATAAAGATCTTAAAAACAAAATGAGATGTTGGAAAACTTATAAGATTAGTTTTTAAAGATCTATATATATACTCCACCTTTTTATATTTACTAGTAAAAACAATTTATAAGTTTTATTATCCAAATATTTTCAAAACTTAGTTATTATAAAAATAAGATGTAATAACTTGCCTAACTCTTACAACAACTTATACTATATAAGCATATGCATCTTATCAAGTTAAATAATTAAAAACAGTATATGCTTTTTCAAGGAACTTGCTGGAGGAATCAGCATTATTCTTTTATCTTTTTTTGACAATTTTACTTTTGCGAATAATGAAGAGGTAGACCCCTTTAAAATCATTAAAATTGAAAATAAAATATGTAATTATTAATTGAAGTCCGGAAATAAGCCCCATGTGTTTGGAGAAGGAGAGAGAGATTATTAGAAAGGAAAAAGGAGCCATTAGAAAAAAAGAGAAAAGTACTCTTAATTAATCATTTCACTGTTCTATTGTATAATTTACTTCAACCAATGAGATCAGATGAGAGCCTAATATTAAAAGATTTAAGTAAAAAGGGTAAATTACACCCAAACCCCTCAGGTATGCTAAAATAACTTGAAGGTCCCTGCGGTACCGATAATTACACTCACCCCCTTGAAACATAATTAGAAACTCTAATGGGATAATGCATTGGATACATTATTAAGATAGAGTTTTAACGGACTATTAGTTTCGGGAAGTGGTGGAGACAACAAAGAGTTGTGCGTGATTTAAAAAATGTTGGAGGAGCCATGTCACCTCGTACCTCTATGTTGTCTCCGCCACTAGCTAAAAGAAATAGTCCATTAGAACTCTATCGGAGTAACGTATCAAAGGATTGTCCCATTAGAGTTTCTAACTATATTTCAGGGGTGATTGTAATTATCGATATCAGAGGGACCTTAAAGCTATTTAAGCATACTTCAGAGGTGTGGGTGTAATTTACCCTAAATAAAAATGGTAGAGGGGGTGGTGAGTTATGGGGAGAAGCATCTGTGGAAAATCCAGCTTTGACTCCAGTTCATGAACCCCACACTCAAATATTTTGAAAATAACAGATTTAATATTTTTATTTTAATCACTAGTACTTGCTCGTTACGAAAAGATTTTTCAGTGGGGGGTGGGACCCATCAAACTTCATATACATATATATAGTATTTTGCAAGTTATTTTCATCATTCATTAATTTTGCTCAGTAGACTTGCATACCCTTTGGAGAAGATTTGGGGAGATCCATCCATTAATTAAACTAAGACCAGGTTTTGTTTCTTTCCCAAACTTTCTTCTTTTTTTGTTCTTTTCTCCTTTTTGTTCAAACTTCACTATCAATATTACATTACCATCAAATAATCACCGGCTATATTCATTTATATATCTGATTTTGATCTTTCTTTATATTATATTATGTTATGTTCCCTCTTTTTTTTTTCTTTATATTAGTATAAATCTTCGAATTTACTTTTGCATTGGATCAAGTATATTTGTGTTGAGTGTTGTGTTTCTCTATCAATTCTTCAACAACTACTCTGTTTTTTCTTTTAATTTATTTTTTATTTATTTATTAGAATGAATAAATGAAACGTTGACTTGAGAAATAGATGCATTTATATTTTGTATAGGCCAAAACAGTTGGCATAGTTTGAAGTAAAAATGGAGAGAGAAAGAGGTTTGGATCAAACAGAGGTGGCGAAGGTTGGTGATGAAAGCAAAAGCAAAAATGGAACTGCCACCAAAACGGTGCCGTTTTACAAACTGTTCTCATTTGCTGATTCAGTAGACAAACTTTTGATGATCATTGGTTCAATTGGTGCCCTTGGCAATGGTTTGTGCATGCCTCTTATGGCTATCCTTTTCGGTGAACTCATCGATTCCTTCGGCCAAAATCAAGACCCTACCCAAATCAAACAAATTGTTTCTGTTGTTTCTAAGGTTAAAATTAATTAATTAATTTAGAAATAATAATAATAATTATAGTATATATTTTCTCTTAACTCTATTGTGGCTACTGCAATTGTAGGTAGCACTTAAGTTTGTTTACTTGGCTCTCGGGTGTGGTGTTGCCGCATTCCTCCGTAAGTACGCCTAACTAGTCTTTATTGAGAAAAAAAAATTAAAAAAAAAATTGGAATTTGAATTAATTGGTTTTGTTGATCAACACTAATTTTGTAGAGGTGTCTTGCTGGATGATCACTGGGGAAAGGCAGGCTTCTCGAATCAGGAGTCTTTATTTGAAAACAATTTTAAGACAAGATGTTGCTTTTTTCGACAAGGAAACTAATACGGGAGAAGTTGTCGGGAGAATGTCCGGTGATACTGTACTAATTCAAGATGCCATGGGCGAGAAGGTATTAATTCGTTATTAATCCTTAATTATTACCATCAAATATATATAGTGTAATTAATTAATTTTGTGTTGTTGTTGTGGTGGTTATAGGTTGGGAAGTGTTTACAGCTGGTGTCGACATTTTTGGGAGGGTTTGTAATTGCATTTACGAAAGGGTGGCTACTTACGCTCGTCATGTTATCATCTATTCCTTTGCTTGTTATATCTGGTGGTCTAATGGCTGCTGCCTTATCGAAGATGGCTACTAGTGGTCAACAGGCTTATGCTAAGGCTGCTAATATCGTCGAACAGACAATTGGCTCCATTCGAACCGTACGTACTTTCTCTCTCATACATTCTTTTCTTTTTTTTTTCTAATCTAACAAAATATTAATTGTATAGTTTGTTGGTTTGTTTTTCAGGTTGCGTCGTTTACTGGGGAGAAAAAAGCTGTGGCGGATTACGATAAGTCCCTAGTGAAAGCATACAAGTCGGGTGTTAGCGAAGGGTGGGCAAGCGGTTTAGGAATGGGTTGCGTTATGTTCATTATATTCAGCAGTTACGGTTTGGCTATTTGGTTTGGTGCAAAGATGATCTTGGAGAAGGATTATACAGGTGGTGATGTGCTCAGTGTCATTGTTGCAGTCCTAACTGGTTCCATGTGAGTACTTTTTTTTTTTTTTTTTTTAATTATTATTTGTAATTAATAATGATAATTAAATAATTAATAAAAAGAAAAGTTCATTATTGTTAATATATTTCATTTTTTGTAGGTCTCTTGGACAGGCATCTCCTTGCATGACAGCATTTTCCGCGGGTCAAGCTGCGGCCTTCAAAATGTTCGAAACTATAAATAGGAAACCTGAAATAGATTCGTACGATACGAGTGGGAAGGTTCGGGAAGATATACGCGGGGACATAGAATTGCGAGACGTGCATTTTAGTTATCCAGCTAGACCCGACGAGCATATTTTCAGTGGCTTCTGTCTATCAATCCCGAGCGGTGTAACAGCCGCTTTGGTCGGACAGAGTGGGAGCGGCAAATCAACCGTCATAAGTTTGATTGAAAGATTTTACGACCCCCAGTCCGGTGAAGTTCTGATCGACGGAATCAATCTGAAAGATCTACAACTCAAATGGATAAGGTCAAAGATCGGGCTCGTCAGCCAAGAGCCTGTACTTTTCACGGGTAGCATTAAGGACAATATCGCATACGGAAAAGACGGTGCTACCGATGAAGAAATCAGGGCGGCAGCAGAAATGGCGAATGCCGCTAAATTCATCGATAAACTTCCGCACGGACTTGATACGAAAGTCGGGGAACACGGTACTCAGCTTTCCGGTGGACAGAAACAGAGAGTTGCCATAGCTAGAGCAATTCTTAAAGATCCTAGAATATTACTCTTGGATGAAGCTACAAGTGCGCTGGATTCTGAATCGGAGAGAGTTGTCCAAGACGCATTGGACAGGATCATGGTTAACAGAACAACCGTTGTTGTTGCACATCGCTTAACCACGGTTAGGAATGCCTCCATGATTGCTGTCATTCACCAAGGAAAAGTGGTTGAAAAAGGTATTTTATTTAATTATTATAGATTTCACTCTTATCTTTTCCACCCAGACTAACTACAGCAGAATCTCTCGATAAATTAATACTCGATAAATTAATAACCTCAATTAAATAATAGTTTCTCTCGGTCGGACCGACTCGGTGAAAACGTGTTAAATTATTAACTCGATAATTAATAATTCACTAAATCAGTAGAATTTCCCTGGTTCCGGCTGTATTAATTTATGGAGGTTTAACTGTATACATGGTACATCAAATTTTCTTTTGTTTTTTCATTTAAAAAATTCAAATCATGTTACAAATTAGGGAAGGGCAGGATTCGAACCCTAGACCTCTACTCTAATTATAGTAGAGGCCGGGGTATCAACTTTCCTAATTACTATACTATTTTACATCATACTAGAATAAAATGAGGACTAATTAGTTACTATGTGCATGCAGGCACTCATTTGGAATTACTCGAGGACCCGGAAGGGGCATATTCTCTGTTGATACGCTTACAAGAAGAAAATAGAGACGAAGGGCATGATGACGGTCACGAAAAATTAGAAAAATCATCCGACATAACTATTTTGGATTCGGGACGATATTCTTCAAGTAAAAAAATGTCGTTCGTACGTTCAATCAGCCAAGGGTCGTCCGGGAAAGGAAACAGCTTTCACCGATCGTTGTCAAACAAGATTGTTGGAGTGGCACCGGATATTTCTGAATTAGAAAAGTCGGAAAATGAAAAGCCTCCAAAAGTCCCTCTTCGTCGACTAGCCTATCTCAACAAACCCGAGGTGCCGTTTCTAATGGGTGGAGCTCTATCCGCACTTGTCAACGGCGCAATAATGCCTACCTTCGGTATACTAATTGCCGGCGTCATCAAAACGTTCTTCGAAACTCCAGATAAACTACGTAAAGATTCCAAGTTTTGGGCGATAATATTTGTGGTTCTCGGAGCAATTTCGTTAATTGCGTATCCATCAAGAACGTATCTATTTGGGGTGGCGGGGAATAGGCTGATCAAGAGGATTAGATTGTTGTGCTTCGAGAAGGTCGTTAATATGGAGGTTGGTTGGTTCGATGAGTCTGAGCACTCGAGTGGGTTTATTGGAGCAAGGCTTTCTGCGGATGCTGCTTCGGTTCGTGCTTTAGTTGGTGATGCACTTGCACAAATGGTTCAAGATTTGTCATCTGCAGTTGTTGGATTGGCTATTGCTTTTGAAGCTTGTTGGCAGTTAGCTCTCATCGTCCTTGTTATGATACCTCTTATCGGATTGAACGGATTTGTTCAGATCAAGTTTATGAAAGGGTTCAGCGCCGATGCAAAGGTTCGTTCATCCAAACTCAAGAAAAATAATATCTTTCTTTTGTCATATATTGGTAACTTATAATTCTCAAGAGATTTTGACATTATTATTAATTTTTTTTTTTTTTGGGATGTATCAGGCAATGTACGAGGAAGCAAGCCAAGTGGCTAATGATGCGGTTGGGAGTATAAGAACAGTTGCTTCGTTCTGCGCGGAAGAGAAGATAATGGAAATATACAAAAAGAAGTGTGAAGGTCCTATGAGGAACGGGATTAATCAAGGGTTGATTAGCGGGATCGGGTTCGGTTCATCCTTTGCACTGTTGTTTCTCGTCTATGGTGCTAGCTTTTACTTTGGAGCTCGACTCGTTGAGGATGGAAAAACTACTTTTTCTGAAGTGTTCCGGGTATGTACATATATCAATACATCTATGTCGAACATATATGTATATATATATGAATATATTGATCATGTTAATAAATATTTGGAGAAATGTTTGCAGGTTTTCTTTGCTCTAACAATGGCAGCAATGGCAATCTCTCAATCAAGTGCTTTTGCACCAGATTCAACCAAAGCTAAGAGCGCTGCTGCTTCAATATTCGCCATTCTTGACAGAGAATCTAAGATCAATCCAAGTGACGAATCCGGGGAGAAATTACAAAGTGTAAAGGGAGAAATTGAACTAAAACACGTGAGCTTCAAGTATCCAACTAGGCCCAATGTCCAAATTCTACGCGACTTTTCCTTGAAAATTCACAGTGGCAAGGTATATAGCAATTCTACTTTAATGTATTTCTTTCGGAGCAACCATTTCTATTTCGTCAATAATAACAATAATATCCGATGAATTTTTTTATTTATTTTAATGTAGACGGTTGCTTTGGTTGGAGAGAGCGGATGTGGGAAATCAACAGTGATATCTTTATTGCAAAGATTTTATGATCCAGAATCGGGGCACGTGACACTTGACGGTGTCGAGATTCAAAAATTCCAATTGAAATGGCTTAGGCAGCAGATGGGATTAGTCAGCCAAGAGCCGATCTTGTTTAACGACACAATCCGTGCCAACATTGCTTACGGTAAAGAAGGAGACGTAACAGAGGCCGAAATCATAGCTGCAGCCGAGCTAGCAAACGCCCATAAATTCATTAGTGGATTGCAGCAGGTCAAAAAATTTTACTATTTAAATTAATGATATAAATATGACTCACTATATAAATAAAATCAGAATTAAAGGATTTGAATCAAACTATTAAATGGGGTTTTGCAGGGCTACGATACGGTGGTCGGAGAAAGAGGGGTGCAATTGTCGGGGGGACAAAAGCAAAGAGTGGCAATTGCAAGGGCTATAATGAAAAGTCCGAAAATACTATTGTTGGATGAGGCAACGAGCGCATTGGATGCTGAATCCGAGAGGATAGTACAAGATGCACTTGATAGAGCAACTATGAATCGGACAACGGTTGTGGTGGCTCATAGGGGGGTCGGGCAATCAAAGCAGCTGATGTTATTGCTGTCGTTAAAAACGGAGCAATTGTCGAGAAAGGGAAGCACGACACGCTAATCAATATCAAAGATGGGTTTTATGCATCCTTACTCTCACTTCATACAACCACTTCAACATGAGAAATGCGTTACGCATTTGTTTATTTTTGGACGAGTTCATTTAGTTTGCCATCTTTTTTTTTTGTCGTGTTATTTGTAGTTATAACTATACCGTTTTGCTTCTTGATAATAAAATTATTTGTGCTATACCCCATCATATCCTCTGCTGTCTTGCAAACATGATTTTATCCTCCACTTTTAATTTTTTGCTCAATCATGTCATCAAAATAGCTATTATACATTTATTTATGTATGTTGTCAGATTATAAGTTTAATAAATTGGAAACGTAAATTCATTCAGAGGATAAATACCTGCTCACAGTCGTTTGCATGTATTCTGTTTTTATTTTTTATTTAGAAGTAATTAAGAGGATTATTATCAATTTTGCTCTTTTATTTTAATATTTGTTATATCCATTCATCTAGGCAATGATAAACTACATATATTTTTCATAAATTTAATAAAAGAATAAAATTAATACATGACTATTTAATATAATGAATATGACACATATATACACGAATAAGATAGGTATTTATTCATGATCCGGACTGTATTGCCCTAAAGAATAAATGAATAATGAGCCCAATTGGATTAAGGCTCAAGTCTTAAAAAGGAAAAATCCAAGAGCCCAAGATTAGGGAGGCCCAATGGCATAGCGGTCCAAGGCAAGCAAGGTATATGAAAAAAGTTGTATGCAAGATAAGATTGGGCCATTATGGCGAGGTAACTTTGTATCTCGGCAGCAATGTACTTTCCTCGGCCTTTAGAGACAAAAAGTACAGGGACGACTCGGGAGAGAAAATGACGTTTGGCAGACTTATGGCAGACTTACACTAGCAGACGAACAGAGAAAAGAACCAGTGGTGGCTTACCACGTGGCATAGTAGGTAGTAGCAAGACGGCGATTTGAGCCTAGAAAATGTAATACATGGCCCAAATGAGGCCCATGCTTATTTTGTAGTATATATATAGGGTCATTTTTTAGGTTAAAGGATCGCTCCATTTTTTATAGTAAGACACAAGACATATCTTATTTCCTTGTTCTTCAAGAAAGAGAATCATTGTTTCTTGAATAGTGTCTCATTATATAATATCCATTGGCTTATTATCTATTTGTTGATAGAGATCCATATTAAGGTTTTTTTTCTCAAATACAAGGTATGATTATTCTAGCCCATAAAAAGTCCATACAATGATCTTTCTACCCTATATATCCATATAAAACCCAGTATAACTGTATGTGGTCGATATGGTCCCATCAAATGGCGCCGTCTACGGGAAAATCGAGTTATAGACGTGAGTTTTACAGTTTACTTCGATATTTTTTTTTGGTTACCCCGTTTCTTTTTCTTTGGGATCACATGTATATATGGCAACAGGAGATGAAAATTTAGAAGCTCGCTTCATGGCTGCGGAGACATCGTCGCCTCGGTAGGAGGATCCTCCTACACCGATCACTCATATGGTACGAATGGCGCCCCTTGTCGAGATACTATCAACTCCCCTCATGCTTACTGTGGAGGATGTTCAAAGGATAGTTAACCAGGCGGTGCAACAAGACGGGGCTAGCAGGCGAGTAGCTAGAACTCGCCCACCTCGCAAAATTGTTTAGCTTAATTGCTGACTTCGCTTCCAAAATTGTTTCGAATCGGTGATACGCGTAAAACCTACGGATAAAAACCGCGAGTGTACAATATCGCGTTTTGTAGAATAGTGGATTCCAGATATCGATCCACAAGGAATTAAGTTCCTAAATTTACCGAGTACCGTAATTATACTATCATAAACTCTATCTAGACGATCAAGAATGGATGGGATGAATGAAGTTAAAAAGAAACAATAAATAAAAAACAACGGTCCACCAGGACAAGCGAGGAATTCCGACGCGTGATGGCTTTTAGGGTAAAATCCACCAGTGTACTATTGATAAAGATCTACAAATCCGAATCTAATGTCAATTCTATATTCGCTAACCCAGACACTAAAATACTCTAACCCCCGTCTCCAGTGTAGTTAGAGTCTACCAACAGGTCCGACGTCTCGGTTCAGAACCAGATATTAAGAGAGCATTTAGGTCAAGTCCTTAAGGGCTACCCGAGGTGCATCACGTCTCCGTTTCCACAACTCGAGCTATATTTTCCTAAAATCAAACGAGAAATCCTCTCTCGAGTTCATTCCTATTTACAATCAATTCAACTATTGGCCAAACAATTGGAAGCATTTAATACAGGAAAAACATAAACAGAATCAAAGAACGACAAATAGATCAAAGATCTGGAAATCAAAATCAATATATACAATGCTTCATTTCCCTAAAAGAAAATGCTCTGTTCATTACAAACATAGCATCAAAATGAAGAACACGAGAAATCATAAACTAAACGTAAAGAAAAAGCTTATGAAAAACCTGAGTCGAAACCCTCGTCGAAGCTTCCCGCGAAGAACTGACAAAAACCGAGGAGAAATTGAAGAAAAAGTCGAAGAAGAGGTCTTTTGATTGGAGGGAGGGCTTGTTCTATTTAGTGGGCTTGCAAAACACAAATATCTTGCCTCGAAAACTGTGCACCGCCTAGCTAGATCGCGATACGGGAATGTTGGATCGCGATCTGGTTCTTGATAAAAAATGTTATGTGAGACCCCCAGATCGCGATACAGGAAGGCTGGATCGCGATCTGGCTCCTGATCGAAAAACCTTCTGTAAGACCCCCAGATGGCGATACAGGAAAGCTGGATCGCGATCTAGCCTCTGCATCAATTTCAAACACTGTTTTGACCCTTTTTTAGCCCGAATTTGACAAACAGGCATTCAAAAAAGTTGTAGCCCTTGAAGTTGGCTTTCTAACCCCACTTGAATCTGCTCAATCGGAGGTTAGTTATGCGTCAAATACGAAACACTGCCATAGTCCGCAAAAACGCAACTTTTGTACGTGTTTGGTTTGGTTCTCGGCTTCTCTTTCAAAATCGTTTCGAATCAGCAAAAATAGTTTCTATTTACCTGAAATATAAATAAAACAAGAAACGCATAATATTTACAAATAAAGCCGAAAACTCGGACGAACGAAGACCGAAACTCGAAGATTCGATAAGTAAAAGTCGTGCAAAATGTACACTTATCAATCGGCAAAAATAGCTTCTTTTTATTTAAAACTGAAATAAAATAAAAATAACATAATATATAAAAATAAAGTCAAAAACTCGGACAAACAAAGACCAAAACTCGAAAATTTGATAAGTAAAAGTCGTGCAAAACGAGCGCTTATCAGTTAACTATATCAAACGGTTCTTGCAAGCACTTCATGTGTATCTATGGAATCATGATGCTTAGTTTCTAGAAGCCAATCTTGATTCATTGGGCAATTAAGTTGAAATTAATTTCATCTTAATTATGACTCTAGGGACGAATTTGAATCACAATGAGTTGTGGCCCAACGGCGAGCTTACACCTGAACCATCGAGGGTCACACTTCTCGTGTACTTGAATTCCATGAATGTAACGGACTGGGCTGTAGCTCCCCCGTCAGATCAGTTGTTTGCTAACGATATAGTTCGTCTCTTATTTCCGATCGTGAACAGACAGACTGGGCCTGATGTGGTAGGACGATTTATGGCAATCTAGCCACAGTTGATTGATTTGATGATGCCCCATGCCTAATATCTCCATCTCGTATCCGGGAGGGATCGTGGGGGCCGAGGACTAGGGGTGGGGAATCGAGGAGTAGACAGTAGGATGGTTATGGCTATTGTTTAATTATGACTATTGTTTATGAACTCTGTTGTTTTCTATTTTCATTGGTTCTGTATTAGGATGATGGAACTTGAGTTTTGTAGTTTAAATATGTTGAAAAATTGCTTGGTTTTGTATTTTGATTGTGTTGAAATATTACTTGGTTTTGTATTTTGATTGTGTTGAAATATTACTTGGTTTTGTATTTTGATTGTGTTAAAAAAAATATCGGTTCTCGCGTGATTTCACACGAACAAAAATTTTTGGTCGTGTGATTTCACACGAGCAAAACTTCTCTGTTCTTGTATAATCACGCAAATAGAATTATTATTTTCTTTAATTTTAATTCCATTCTCGCGTTATTTCACTCGAACAGAGAGGGTTTGCCCATGTGATAGTACACGAGCAAACCTTCTCTGTTCACGTGAAACCATGCGAGAAGTATTTAATTTTTTTTAATACTGGTGCACGCTTGACTTCACGCGAACAAAGAGGGTATGCTCGTGTACTATCACATGAGCAGACCCTCTCCATTCGCGTGAAACTCTTGCGTGATTTCACGCGAACATAGACGGTTTGCTCGTCTGATAGTACATGAGCAAACCGTCTTTGTTCGCGTGAAACCACGCGGGCATCAATATTGTTTTAAAAAAAAATTAACAAAATTAAAAAGCCAAATATAATAACAAAGTTTAACATCCAAGTTCAATGATAAAGTTCAACAACCAAGTACAATTACAAAGTTTAACAACCAAGTACATTGAAAACTCCAAATCTACCTATGTCTAGTACTTAAAGTTGTCCACAAAGGTAGTCGTCAGTGTAAAAATCTTGTAAGGGCAGTAAATTGGGAGCCGTGTAATACTTCCACTAAGGATGGATGCGAGGTAGAGGGCAGTAAACCGGTACTCGAAGGCGCCATAACCCCAATAATTTTCAAAAGAGGCATTTCATATCTACATGAATGTATTTATAATTGTATCAACTCACAAATAAAATATAATAAATCAAATTCACATTTAAATAATTTTGTTAGTTGATATATATTTATTCTTCTCTCTTGAATTTACCGACTATTTATTATGTTTCGAGGCTAAAAAACGCTCCATTTCGATTTCATTTTGTTGTTGTAGCTTGAAGCAAATTTGGTTTAGAATATTTATGTTATGTATGTGTTATTTGTACTTTTGCCTTGCTGATTTTTGACTATATGATACTAACTTAGGGGTTTGGAGAAGCTACCAGGAAATATGTTCGGTAATGTTCTCTCTCTCTCTTTTTTTTTTTCTCTATTTTCTCTGTTATTTTCCATCTTATCTTGGATCTGATTTTCTTTGAGTGTTGTTTGATGTCGTTGCAGTCAGTTGGGATACGTCTTCCTACATCGCTGTATAATTTAATGCTATGTCCATTTTATATTCTATTAAAATTCACTTACTTTGTCTCTAATGAAGTGAATTAATTTGATTAAGTAATTACATTCTACGAAGATGGTTGGTGCCTTAGCTGCCCTGTTGTGATGCCGATGGTACTTTTTCATATTTGTTAAGTTCATACACATGCAAACATTGATATAATTATTTGTATATTGTGAGTTTCTACTGTGACTGAAGTTAGTGGAGCTATTTCTCAAGTAACTTATGCTCGGATTGTGATTATCTCTATATATTTTTTATCTCTCCCAAGTTTTCTTATAATCTAATTTTCTATTAAATTTGAATTTTTTTTTTCTGTACTTGACAGTTGGAAAATTTAATTGCAACATTTTCTCTATCAGAAGTTTATGGTTCCTCTTTCTTCTTGGTGTTTAAGAATTGAGTGTTATTTTTTCCCTTCTTTTTATACGATACGATGTGTTCAATTTTTTTTATTTTTATTTTAAATTTTTTTTCATATGCATGCACATAATTTTTCCCTCCTTTTTAATGTTTATAATTTATCGTATGCATGCACATAACTTAATATAGTTACTAATCGAAAATATATATGTCGTGCATTCTCCGAGAGAAGTTACTAATTGAAACACGATGTTTATATAAAACTTTTAGATGTCTTTTCAAGTCTAATGGATTTCTTAGCAAATTGACTTCACCTTTGAATTAATTTTTTTTCATCCCATACATCTCGCACGGATGAAGTTACTAGTAATAAATGGTAAAAAGAAAAGAAAAAAAAACTGATAATTCATTAAAAAAATTAAAGTGATAAATAATTTGAAATAAAAAAGAATTTCCGAAATAGCAAATAAAACGAGAAGAATGAAGTATTGACAAATCCGGCGAAAATCAGTTGACTAATATTTTCAATGGGGAAGTGCGAAAGGGTGCAATATACAAATAATCGATAACCTAAGGTGCAAATTGCCATTTTCGAAAATTGAAGTACACAGAAATGCCAATCGGACCTAATAAACGGGCAAAAACGCCCAAAACCCATCGTCGTCGTGAATCCTCTGAATTGAAACCCTAATTGCTGCTGCGATTTGAGCAGCAAACCTGTTTCTTTCTAATGATCGGGGGACTGACGCATTGATCCGCCGGAAACTCACCGGCAACCGGCGGAGCTGCCTCCTTCTTCTCTCTCAGTCATTTCAATTCCGATCTTGCTCAGCCGATCCACTTTTGCCCCGTACCAATTCCGGCAGACAAATCGCAATTTCATTTCAATGGCGAATCGACAGCAGTCCTCCTCGGCATACTCGTCAGTGATTCCAAACCTAGATACAAAATTGGGAGCTTCTACTCCATCACCATCGTCATCTTCACCATCAATACAAAGATTTCCTCCACCACCAACACCGCCACCTGTAATTCAACCAAATCAGATACATTCTCCATTGATGAGGACTCCTCCTCCTAATTTACCATCTCCATCGAATCATGGTGTCCGTACTACTAGTGGAAGCCCTGTTCCTCATATGAGCACGCCGCCTGGACCACCTGTATTTTCATCGCCTCTTCAACCAGCTGCTGTTCCATTTAGAACTTCTCCTTCAACTCCTCAGCCCATTGCTTATTCCTCCAATTCTTCTTTACCCACTTCTTCACCCTCTCCCCTTTTTTCAAATGGATCCGTTGAATTTCAGCACCAATCTTCTGGCATCACTGAGGATCTCACCCACGATGCTGATTCTCCTAATGTTCTATTTTCGGCTCACAAGGTATCTTTTCTCTCTCTTCTACAAGAAGTATTTTTAGTATTGATATAAATCTGGAAAATATTGTTGTAAGTTGTCATATATTTGATTAACTGGCAGAAATCATTATTTCCCATTGAAAATTCTGTAGTGTGTTGCTATTGGTTGTTTATCCATGCCAAATTATTTTATTTGGGCGTTTTCTCTTCTCAGTTATGGATGCATATTTTGACTGGAATGGGACTCTTTTATTTATTTATAAAAATCAAACTTTATAACTGCTGCCCTAGTTAATTAATTGTATTCATTTTATTTCAGGTATTGAAACAAAAGAAGTTAGCCAATGTACCTAGTTTAGGATTCGGTGCATTAGTTTCTCCAGGCAGGGAGGTTTCATTAGGTCCCCAGATAATTCAACGTGATCCCCATCGCTGCCACAACTGCGGAGCTTATGCCAATCTCTACTCCAATATCTTACTTGGTTCTGGTCAGTGGCAATGTGTAATATGCAGAAATTTAAATGGAAGTGAAGGGGAATACATAGCTCCAAGCAAAGAAGAGCTCCGTAATCTGCCTGAACTGTCATCACCTCTGGTCGATTATGTCCAGACCAGCAACAAAAGACCTGGTTTCATTCCAGTATCCGAATCAAGAATCTCTGCCCCAGTCGTTCTTGTAATAGATGAATGTTTAGACGAACAGCACTTGCAGCATCTGCAGAGCTCCTTGCATGCGTTTGTAGATTCGTTGCCTCCAACAACTAGACTTGGAATTGTTCTTTATGGCCGCACAGTTTCCGTGTACGATTTCTCTGAAGAATCGATAGCATCTGCTGATGTACTTCCTGGTGATAAATCACCAAGTGAGGAATCCTTAAGAGCATTAATCTATGGAACCGGGATATATTTAACACCAATTCACGCTTCTCTTCCTGTAGCACATGCAATATTGTCATCTATGAGGGAATATAAACTGAAACTGCCTGAAGTTTCTCGAGATCGCTGCTTAGGTGTCGCTGTGGAATTTGCTCTGGCAATAATTCAGGGCCCATCAGCTGAAATATCAAGGGGGGTTGTTAAAAGACCTGGTGGAAATAGCCGAATAATTGTTTGTGCAGGTGGACCTAGTACTTATGGCCCTGGTTCAGTTCCACATTCTCTTGGTCATCCAAATTATCCTCATTTGGAAAAAACAGCAATAAAATGGATGGATATGTTAGGTCGTGAGGCTAATCGACGCAATACTGTAGTTGACATACTCTGTGCTGGGACATGCCCTGTACGTGTTCCTGTGCTGCAACCTCTTGCAAAATCGTCTGGGGGTGTTCTTATTCTCCATGATGACTTTGGTGAAGCTTTTGGTGTCAATTTACAGAGGGCGTCCACAAGGGCTGCAGGTTCCCATGGTATATTGGAAATTAGGTGTTCAGATAATATTTTTGTTAGTCAAGTGGTGGGCCCCGGTGAGGAGGCACATATGGATAACCATGAATCTTTCAAGAACGATACTGCTCTTGCTATACAGATGCTGAGTGTTGAAGAGACACAAAGTTTTGCAGTATCAATGGAGACTCGTGGTGATATCAAGAGTGATTTTGTCTACTTCCAATTTGCGATTCGGTATTCAAATGTTTACCAAGCTGATATCTCAAGAGTGATTACTGTTCGGCTCCCTACTGTGGATAGTATTTCAGCTTATCTGGCGAGTGTTCAGGATGAAGTAGCTGCAGTTCTTATTGGTAAAAGGACTCTCTTGCGCGCCAAAAACTTTAGCGATGCTGTTGATATGCGAGTAACTCTTGATGAGAGAATTAAAGATGTTGCAACTAAGTTTGGCTCACAGGTTCCAAAGTCAAAGCTTAATCGGTACCCTAAAGAGCTCTTGTTATTGCCTGAACTGTTATTTCATCTTAGAAGAGGTCCTCTTTTGGGAAGTATACTTGGCCATGAAGATGAGAGGTCTGTTTTGCGGTCTCTATTCCTCAATGCATCGTTTGATCTATCCCTTCGAATGCTGGCACCTCGCTGTTTAATGCATCGAGAAGGTGGGACGTTTGAGGAACTACCAGCTTACGACCTTGCAATGCAGTCTGATTCTGCAGTTGTTCTTGATCATGGCACCGATGTCTTCATTTGGCTGGTATGCCATTTTACAAAGTTTTTGTTTTGTTCTTCTGTTTTTTATTTGGAGAATGATATCAGTCGATCAAATTTAACGAAGGCTTATGTCAGAATTGCTTGGGTTCCCATAATTGAATTTATTCATAACTGTTTTCACCATTTTTCTCTTCTTATTTGATATGAAATATCTCATTCTTCATTATACACTTCCATGTGCACTTCATGTTTTGTTTTTTTAGCTCAAGATAATTTTGCATGTATTTATATATGAAGAGAAACTTTGAAGTGCTATTTGAAGTTTTTGTTTCATTTGCATAAAACATAGCAACAGTTTGTCTGATAATACCAAAAAATGCTCCCACTGTTGGTTAAAAATCTACAATTAAACTGCATACTGAAAGAGTAATTTTTTTTTTAATTCCTAACAATATTACCTGAGTTAGTAGTTAGTAATTTTATATGTCCAGAATATTCGTGCCCAATAAACTCTTGCCCTTTCTCACTCAACAGCTTAATCTAATCTTGTAATGTCTTCGTTTTTACTGGATAATCGTGCTTGGTCTAAGTTAATTTTTTTTTAAATGGTCTTATCAATGACCTACAACCGTATTCAAAGGCCCCAACCCAATTCCACTCGGGCAATGCCTTCGCAGTACTTGATCGAAGTAAGTTCAATGACTATAAGTTACAACTTACAAGGTTATTCTACAACTACATCACTATGTCTGAACCATCCTTCACGTGAAAACCTCATTTTTGGCAGTGTTCTTATTTATAGCTCACCTTTAGTTATCATTAAGAGAGATTTTCAGGATGATGACAAATCTTTTGATTCCTGTATTTATGTTTTTCTGTTGAAAGAACCTTTAAGCGGCCTCATAATGGTGATGACAGTCGACCGAAACAATCTTTATTAGATGGTGGTTTAGTTTTGATTCCTGTGTTCTGACTGTACTATTACATTGCAAATTAATGTCTGGAGACTTGTGTTAGCATTACGATTGAGGCCTTCGGCAGCACAGAACCTAAAGCTTGCATGAGTCAGTTTAAAGCATTTTGGCCCACCCACCTAAATGACAATGCTTCGAGTGATTTCATTATCTCATGCTTTGGACAGTATCTCTGATTTCTTTGTGAACTTTTTGGAGAAGGTCAAAAGAGAGCATTGGGTAGTACTAACTATTGGTTTTTCCTCTTGAAATCCAACGCTACTCGTTTGTGGATTGTAACCATTTAGATTATTATAGGTTTATTGTTTCCTTGCATCTTCTGAAATAATCTCTGTATCAGGTATTTTTGAGTTTTGAGAAGCATTTGATCTTCAGGCTTTTTCTCTTTCTGGGCAATGATGTACAATATATTATGTTCGAATTAGTTGAGACAAGGGTTCTGATGTACAATAGTTTTACGCGACTCTGAATGAATTTTGAGAAAATAGCGTCATTTTTCCTTATCCAAGGAGTAATGTATTGGTGCTTAGACCATTGCTTATCTTTTTTTGATACTCGTCGATTTTTCTGTTTTATTCTTTTTTCCTGCCGAAATAGATTTATTTTGGTGGTTCGATCATTTAATATTAGAAAGCATCTCTTGTGACACCCTTTGTCGTTGTTTAATGGTTGTTCAGGGTGCTGAACTTGCTGCACAGGAAGGAAAGAGTGCAGCAGCTTTGGCAGCTTGTAGGACATTGGCTGAAGAGCTGACCGAGTTGCGGTTTCCAGCTCCTAGGATTCTTGCTTTTAAGGTACCAATCTTCTTTTCTTCTATAAACTTCCATCAAATCTTGCCTCAATCAGTAATTAATATATACTTTTGAGTGTTTTGTAACAGGAGGGGAGCTCTCAAGCTCGATATTTTGTCTCTCGCTTGATACCAGCACATAAAGATCCTCCTTATGAACAGGTATGTATGTAATGTGATAGAAAGTTTGTTGTACTCTCTGCTTTATATGTTGCACGTGAAAGATGGAAATTATCGTGATAATGTTAATGATATTTGTGTGGGAGTGCAGGAGGCAAGATTCCCTCAGCTACGAACATTGAATGCAGAACAGAGGACAAAGCTTAAAAGTAGTTTTATTCACTTTGATGATCCTAGTTTCTGCGAGTGGATGCGCACTTTGAAAGTATCGCCCCCAGAACCAAGATGAGAGAGGTGCTTCATTAGACTTGTTTTTTTATTGTAGATGTTTTCTCCGTGAACGTTTGTTACGTTTTCGTTGTACTTGGATATTTCATATTTTCATTTTTGTTTTTACGACATTATACACAATTCTTAAATGATCAAAATTGCGGTAATAAAAGAGGTTGGATACATTCATGAATGATCCGGTTCTATACGCTTTTAAGTGGTCCAAATTTCATTAGATTTGACTTTTGATGGTAAAAAAATACTCACCGTTATCTTACGCCAAGACGACTTCCTATACATAAGCAAGTGAAATAGTTATAAAGGAAAGGAACACCATTCAATTCTGGGAATTACGGAAACAAACTGGTATGCAGATGATTTTGGTAATGTTCGGATTCTGGACAATATATGATAGCATTGTTTACATTTTTATAGGACAATGTCGTCTTCTTTTTCGGATAAATAGAATGATGTCGTTAGTTGTACCCAAATTCATATACATAACTTTTGGACAAACCACCAGTTTCTTCTACTCAAGAAGTATGGCCAAACTCAAGTGATGGATAGGGTATTCTACGTACAAACCAAAATAAAAAAACTCAATTATAAATAAATTTATTGATAAGTAAGTTTAAACAAAGAATTGTTAAGAAGGTTGAATTCATTTATATGAACTCTTTCCGACTTGTTATTATCAAACTCAACTTCAAGAAGGTTGTTTATTGTGTGTACAAGTCAAAGGCATCGATTTCATAAGGGACTCTGTGAGGATACCCCTAATTATTTTTTTTAATGCAGAGAGGTCCAAAATATTTCAGTCAATTTGAGAAAAGCCCACACCCATTTTGAGCCATTATATTTTCCAACTTTGCCCCGCTCGCCACATCATTACTGGGTCACGCGCTCAGCGAATTTTTTTTTTTTTTTTTTTTTTTTTTTTTTTTTTTTTTTTTTTCTGTTTCCCCCCCTTCTTTTCTGTATCAGTTTCCTTAATCGACTATGAAGCATAGTTGATTAGCCTTAATCGACTATGCTTTATAGTCGATTAAGGAAAATCTTTAATTTTTTAATTCTTTTTTTTGTTTTTAAATTTTTTTTTCTATATCAGGTATATTAATCGACTACGATGAAGCATAGTTGATTAAGAATCTGCTACTAAAAATAACAAATCACAACTGCGAAAAAATGCAAAATCAACTAGATAATACAAAAACAAAAAAGTATACAAACATTATAAATGATACAATTGGAATCAATAAAGAAAAAATCCAAAAAAAATAAAAAAAATTGGAGTCGATCAACCCTAATCGACTGCCAAAGAGCATAGTCGATTAACTTAATCGACTATGAACATGTACATAGTCGATTAAGGATTAACCTGCGCGGACTTCCTCTACCGTCGTCCTTCGCCCAATCTTCCCAGAAAACCCAAGTTCTGCTCCCCTCGTCATCACACCATCACCATCCCCACCTCCGCACTCGAGCATTCTTTCTGTAGAGTCAATTTACAACATTTATTTATTGAAACACGCAGTACATATAAGATAATTGAAGCCCTAGTGGTGTTAATAATACATCAAAGTAAAAGATTAAATTCCATACATTATTTGTTTCCTTTGCCCAACCAAACAAACTGTTAATTTCAAATTAAAACATCAACATCAAGACAAGAGTTAGAAACTTAGTGGGGTAGAGTTTTGAACTTACTTTTTCATCAACTAAAATTTTGGATTAGAAACAATTAATTACCTAAAATTTGGTTTTGATCTGTTCAAAATTATCAAAAATTTACAATAAAAAATGAATCCACATACATGGTGGGTAAGGTTTTCAACTTACTTCTCTGAATGGACCACACATCAGCCCCCGTTCCGAATGTTAGAGTAGGTGACCAACAAGCCAACATGTGGCTGTGGTCTTTCGTATTTATTATTGTAATAAACGAACCTTTATTCGTATTAATGATAAAACAACTTGGCATTCTATATCTTTGTCCCTTTGTCACAAGCATAGATATAGTCCTTACAGTTATTACAAGTACTAGTAATTGATCGTTAGGATCGTGAGATATTTACTTAAGTATTATAACTGTTAAACGTGTTCCTAGTCAAAAGGTTACGCCACCAATGAGGATATCGGCCTTTCCCATTAAGAGACTAGCACTTAGTGTATGTGTACTGCATCTCATCAGTAAACGGTATTGTGATATCGGCATGCATAAGTGGGTGCTCGTAAGTTGACGAGTTCACTGAACTCCCTCACCCTAGAAATCTCTAAGTGGTTCCCAATAATCGAGTAGAGATATCTATGGTATAGTTGTACACCATTAGTCCTTATGACCTAGACATCACCGTGACTTCACTAGAGGACCAGCTGTATCGTGACCTGTCCCTGAGTTCCACCGAGGACCGCCCCAAGGGCCAGTGTTCGTGCAGTTCGAAATCTAGTGGGAGGTCTGTGCATTGTAGTCGGGGATTCGATCGCTAGAATAGTCTTGGATGTCCTTTGTGTTAAGTCTCTGGCCAGAGCTGACTAAGTGATGATTAGAGAATTCGATTCTCTAAGTCATGCACGTAACGATTACAACACTTAGAACGACCGCACCGTCATTGAACAAATAAAGAGGTCTCGACGAACCAATTCCTCTAGTTCAATCGGGACATATGAATCGAAGGGATCGTACTGTACGTTAACTATATCTGAAGGTTCTTGCAGGCACTTCATTTTTATCTAGGGAATCATGACGCGTAGTTGCTAGACGCCAATCTTGACTCATTGGGTGATTAAGGCCGTGAAACGAGCTTCATCTTAATCGTAACTCAAAGGGACGAGTTTTGACCACAAAGGGTTGTGGGCCCACGACTAGCTTACATTTGAACCATCGAGGGTCACACTGCTCGTGCACATGAGATCTTTGAATAAACGGTCAGAGATAAAATGGTTTATCTTTGCATGGTTGGAAGTCAATATGATTGGGTCCAACATTCGTAATTTGTAATTATGAATGAGAATAAGAAAAGGAAAAGAATAGGCAAACATCTTAGTGGACTTTCTAAATCGGGAAGTTTCCAAATTTAGAAAGTGCACTGAATTAGGGTTTCCACTTTTGGAAAGTTGGAAATCGAGAGTTGGCACTCGTAATGATTCCGAAAATGTAATCGTTACAATTTTCCGATCATTGAATTGAGAGAGACGAGCAAGTAAAAGAACTAACGAACTTAAGCTGTTGTGCCCGGTCCAACTTAAGCCCGTTAGGGTTTTATGCAAGACACTATAAATACTTGATTTATAGGTCTTGCATAAAAAAGACAACACACAAACCCTAACCCTAACCCTAGGTTAATAATAATTGCATGTTCGTTTTAATAAAAGTTGTATGATTTTATGTGTCTATATGAAATTGATTTTATTATTGCGAGCATGATTGTTTGATTTAAACGCGAGTATGCTAATTGATTTAAATTCAGTTAAATAATTAAGCATGTATGTTGTTTTTAATTTCGCTGGAAGCGCAAAGGTACGCAATTAATTGCTTTCTATTATCGGGCATGTGTTTATGTGTTTTAAAGTTGTTTAAATCGCATAAAATTTTTGTTTTCCGCTACGTACACGTGCCTGTTACCCAACACCGAAATCACCACCATAATCGACAGCGAAAAGAGGAATTCTCATCATGGATCTACGATGGTGAATAGGTTTCTGGACGCGAATGGATACGATGAAGAGTCTAATTTCCTTCTCCGACGACAATCAGAGCTGGACTCTCACGATGACAACGGGCTGTTGTTGCTCCGGGCTGCCATATGTCGGTGGTCTGGGCTCGATTGAGCGCCGTCGGGGCATAGGCCATAGAATATTGGAGGCTCGACGACTCGGCGGTGTTGTTTTGGAGTTTGGTCGCCGCTGCCATGGGAGAATTTTGTGTCTTCGCAAGTGGTTAGATCGGGAGAGAAATAAAAGACGGAATAATGAGATTAGGTTTGTGAAAGGGCATATTGGGAAATTCAATTTAAGAGGAGAGTTGTGTCAAAGACAAAGGGGTTTTCTCAAATTATTTTTGAGAGGGAGTTTTTCTTAACTACATTTCCTACATTGGGGAGTTCTTGCTAATTATCCCATTTCATAAACGCTATCAACATCAAGTGCTCTATTTTTTTTTGGGCGAATGGCAAAAAGGTCCATCACATGGCACTTAAATACACACTGGTTCACAAAAAAAACAGTCTCTCAATTAAACTCATCCCCATGTCTTTAGTCTAAAATACCCTCCATAATATAATTCTTATCAATTCCATCCATAATGCTTTAACTTCCTTAATATTACACATTGACCCCGGATTTAAACAAATATATCACATTAACCCCCAAAATTTTTTTTTTCAGAAAATAATTTTTTTTTGAAATTTTTTTTCCGGCCAGATTCCGGCGTTCTTTTTTTTTTTTTTTTGAAAACTTTTTTTTTCCTGAATTGTTTTTCCGGCCGGTCAACCACCGTTGACCGCCGGTCTCCGGCGTTGACCTTTTTTTTTCTTAGAAAAAAATATTTTACGTAATATTACTGTCTTGGCTACTAAATTACTGCCTCATACAGTAATATTATGACTATTATTAACCCGAACAGTAATATTATTAAAATATTATTGTCTAAGACAGTTAAATTATTGTTGGAGACAATACTTTAGCAGGCAATGCAGTAATATTAATTAAAATATTTTTTTTAAGAAAAAAAAATTCAAAAAAAAAAAAGAAAAAAGTCAATTAATAGTTAAATTACTGTCTCCGACAGTCAAAAAGCTACTGGAGATAGTAATTTAGCAACGAATACAGTAATATTAATTAAAATTATTTTTTTTAAGAATAAAAAAGTCAATTAACAGTTAAATTACTATCTCCGACAGTTAAATAACTGTTGGAGACAGTAATTTAGCAACGAATACAATAATATTTAAAATTTTTAAAAAAATTAGTCAATTAACAGTTAAATTGTTGTCTCCGACAGTTAAATAACTGCTGGAGACAGTAATTTAGCAGCAAAGACAGTAATATTAATTAAAATATTTTTGAAGAAAAAAAAAAGTCAATTAACAGTTAAATAACTGCTTGAGACATTAATTTAGCAGCCAAGATAGTAATTTTAATTAAAATATTTTTCTTACAGAAATAACAAAATAAAAAAAAAAAAAAAAATCAACGCCGGAGACCCGGCGGTCAACGGCAGTTGACCGGTCGGAAAAAAATTTCAGGAAAAAAAAAGTTTTCCAAAAAAAAAAGTTGAACGCCGGAGACCGGCGGTCTCCGGTGGTGGCGGGTCAAAATTGGGGTCAAAAATGAAATTAGGGTTAAAATTGGTTAATTGATGAAATTGGACTAAATTGTGGTGTAAATCATGAAATTGGAATTGAGTTGGGTATCAATGAATTGTGGGTAATTATGGTATATATAAAAGAATTTTCCTTATTTGCAAATAAGTTTGAATGAGCTGGATTTATTTGAAAGACAAAAAAGTTGGATGTCCCTCTTTTAATTAAGTGCCCTTATCATGGGTCTTTCTGTAATTAACCCTTTTTTTTTTTTTTAAATTCATTATCTAATGGAATCTTATAAATTGATAAATAAATCAAATAATTTAGTTTTAATAAAATAAAAAGCTATCATACTCGGTCCGACTCAATAAAAAATAGGTTTGGCTAAAAAATAATTGGATCGAACCATCGGACTTCAATTAGGCCCGACTCAATTGCATGTACTCCTAAGTGCAGGTAACCTCATAACAAGAAACAAAAAACCCATTTGCTTCATATTGCATCTGACACATGATGCATCTGAAAAACTGAGTAATTATTTATGGAGGTGAGTTTCCCAAGTTTTTCAGTACCAAGAATCGCTAAAATCTTCATATAATCCAGTACCTGTTAGTGTTGAATCAGGTAAGCCAAAACAAATGTCTTGTTTCCTTATCCTCTAACTGAGCCATTAATTCTGGTGCCACAAATAACATTTACATCATTAAAAAATTTTGAGGCCCGACAAAATGTTCCTATGCTTCAATTTTTTTTTTCGAATTTGAGTAACTTAGCACCGTCTAAAGCAATAACAAGGGCCGAAAAGCAGACCCACTTGGTAAGGACCAAAAAACGGATAGGCCAGAAGAGAACATTTGGAGCTGTAAATGTAATCAAGGTGGACGAAACTGCTTAGTGAAAGAAACATAAAAGTTAGTGTTTAGTAGAGGTAAAAGATGCAATTGCATCCATTTCTTGCTGCAAGAGAAGAGCATCAACGAATGTGTCAAGATTCTCTCCCTGCATTAAACCATCTATTGAGTGGGTTGTGATTCCAACACGGTGATCCGTAACACGGCCTTGAGGAAAATTATAAGTACGTATGCGTTCTGATCTGTCTCCGCTGCCAATCTGTCCAAAACATGAAAAGCTGTCATAATTAGGACAAATAATGCCAATCAGTTCTTTTCTTTTAAAAAAAAAAAACTCAAAGTCGTTACCTGCTCTGTTCTAAGTCTTGAACGACTTGCATCAGCCCTAGCCCTTTCAATCTCGTACAACTTTGCACACAACAGTTTAAGAGCTTTGGCCTTGTTCTGGTGAAACAATAAACACAAGAGGAAATAGTACTGAGTCATTATCAAGGAGACAAAAACGAAATCTACCGGCATTTAAGATTTTTTTATTTTGGTATATCAGCACATAAAATGCAATATAGAAACACATATAAATGATTTGCCAATTTTGTTATAGTCTAAACTCTAAGAATGTAAAGCAATTGTAGTGAACCTATCTTTCATATTGAATGCAGAAACTAAAACACAAGAATCTTAAACTCATGTTAAAACTGAGGAATTAGGTGCAAAATAGAATGTGTACACAGACTGTATAATTATTTACTACCAATTTGCAACCATCCAATCAAACAGATATAACATGTGAGCTTTAATCACTGACACTTGAATTCGATCCGACCAGCTGAGAAAGAAGCTTAATAGGAAAGAATCCATAAAACCGCTTCAGAAACTAGATATTACACTGAAGAAAAAAATATTAGACTGGAAAGCGATAACAACAAATAGTTTATCTATATTCTTGCAATCAACAGTGTCAATTGATTGCAAGAATTGGTACCCGAACTTGTTTTGAACAAATAAAGTAACGCTAACAACACAGATGTCCAACTTCTCGCACCTTTAAATTGTTATTGACATATCAGAAAACGAATACACTCACTAATAAAACCATTCTTCTCTAAGCAAACAACTTTGAGTTAAATCAGTAAATAGATTCATGAAAATCCATGCACAACGATATATAAACCAGTAATAAAGATATAATGCCACTAGTTATTATGCACCAAACAGCAAAAACAAGCTACAAATAGACATCAAATGAAATAGAAGATGTGCAAAACTCTGTTATGTCAATTTGCTGAATTAGGGGAAACTTTAGCAATTTCAAAAGCAGAGTTTTTTTTACCATATGTTGAGAGCGTTCATCCTGTATGTTAACAGTCAACCCTGTTGGTACATGAGTAACCCTCACAGCGCTGTTAGTCGTATTTGCATGCTGACCACCTGAACCACCAGATCTATATGTATCAATTTTCAGATCTTCGTTCTTTAAATGAACATCTACCTGCACAAACTTCGGATAAGTAATCCAATAACCTTGAATTCGGCAATAAATTAGTTTCAATGCAGTTGCAGAACATGAGATCAGATGAATTGGACCTGATCTGCCTGAGGAAGAATAACAACAGACACAGCACTGGTGTGGACTCGTCCAGATTTCTCCGTCACTGGAACTCGCTACAGAAGAAGCGTATATACAAAATATGTGAAAACACAGAGAATAAATAACATCCAAATGCAAATAGATTAGGAAATGGACAAAACCTGCACTCTGTGAACCCCACTCTCAAATTTGAGTTTTCCATAAACATCTGCGCCAGAGATTGCAGCACTAGCTTCCTACGATTTAACGAACAATGTTCAAAGACCAATCATGATCTGATATTTTTGTATTGAAAAGGGAAAATTCAGAAGATAGTTTGTAGCCCACCTTGTACCCTTTAAGGTCTGACTCTGCCACATCCAAAACTTCAAATTTCCAACCTTTCTTCTGCGAGTATTTCTCATACCTGAATCAAGTATTTCAATCACAAAGTCATCAGTATACTAAAAAAAAGCAGCACTTGATAGAACAAACAAACAAAAGTACGGAGATAAGAGTGCCCTACATCTTGAATATGTCCATCGCAAACAAAGAAGCCTCTTCTCCTCCAGTTCCTTAAACAAAACAAACAACACCAACAAGTAACAAACAGTTTCTATTTAAAAGAAACACAAATATAAATAAAGATGAATACGACTGACGGGCATTTATTACCTGCTCTGACTTCCAAGATACAGTCACGTTCGTCGGCATCATCCTTAGGAAGCAAGGATTTGAGCAACGAATGACGAATGCGCTTCTCTTCCTCTGATGCTTGCCCTAATTCTTCAGAAGCCATTTGGTGCATGTCTTTGTCGTCTTGGCTTTCAGTAAGCAGCAACTTTAGCCCCTCAATCTCCTGCCAAAACATCAGGAGTAACATTTATACCTGGTACAGAATCTTTATGGTGCATATATGAAATGAATTAACGGAGGATTTACTTTGTGCTTCTTCCTCATCTCAGTCACCAACTCAACCGTATGTCGAAGCTTCTTAAGCTCTTTGTTGGCAGTGGAATACTGTTCCGGCGAGGCATCCGGCTGTCTTTCGTACAAACCAACAAAAAGTTTGACACAGGGGAATTTCATCGAACAGTTAAAGGAAGTGAATGAATATAAAGAGGTATAATGCCGGTAATTACCTGGTTGACAATAGCCTGAAGAAAAGAATTTCGGTTTTCTATTGCGGCTAATTTCTGGTCCATGATGTTGATTAGATCGAGAGAAAGTTCCGGCTGAGATTGTGCAGTTTCGGCGGAGCTGGAGAAGTAACGCCGGAGGAGTGTTGTTTCTTTAACGAATGGTAACTGGCTGCGGTTGTAATTCGGAGGTCGGCAAACATTTATTCGGCGACTGATAGTATGAGAATGAAGTTTCCGGCATGCCGCAACCATCACACAATGATTCAACCGCCAAAACCGTCCGCCGCCGTTTCCCATTCCGCCGGTCCCCCGCCTCCCCCCAATTTCACATTTCTTGCTTTAATAAGGTACTCAATCAATATTTACGGTAAATGACAGTTTGCCCCCTAAACTATAGTCATTTTGCATATTACCCCGAATGAATATGTTTCTAAATTTTTACACTTTCATCTACTCGTTAAATGTTTGCACAGTGCCATAATGTTGCCAAATCTGTTCAATTCTCGTCGGAATCTATTTGCAATTAATACAAAAAAGAACAAAAAAAAAAAAAAAAAAAACTAACAATTGAACTATAAATAATAATAAAAAATTCTAATTAAAAGAAAAAATTGAGGTTTCGGACGCGGTAGCTCGAATCGTCCAAAAATTGCAGTAAACACTCTTTTCGGATGGATCCACCTAAAATTCGAGCATGTATTTTGGGTTGATCCACCCGAAATGTTCAAAATTATTTTGTACTTTTTTTTTATTACTTTTTCTTATATTCGACATAATACATACAATATAAAATTGACATCATATTTGAATGAACAGGATAATATATAATCTTTTGATATATTTTGAGAGGATATTATGAATGAAAATCAATTGTGACAAAAAAAATTATTTGCAAACTGAATATCAAAAAAAAAAATTATTATTGTCAATGTTAACTGCATCACCCTAGTAGACTTCTAAGTTGGGTGAAATTCAGACGAATTGAATCGAAAACGATCTTGAAGATATTCCCATTTTTCGGAACTATAATCTAAGTAGTTTTTTTTTTAAACTACAATCAGAAAATGATTTTCTATCCCAAACTTTTCAGAAATCTTCATATTTGTTTTAAGAATGAGAGAAGAGAGATGAAAAAAGAAAAGCAAACACGAAAAGCCAACAACATCCAATGGTCAGGGGCGGAACCAAAATAAAAATGTAGGGGGGGGGGGGGGGGGGGTCAATTAAAATTTTAGGGTTCGGGGCAGCGGCCCGAAAAAAAAACTAGGTTTACAAAACATTGCAAAAAATAAGTTTATATTACTATTTTTAATTAAAATATCATATACATTATAATTATATCATATTTTAATCATCACAAAAAATTCTAAATTAATTCAAATTATTCTAATAATATATTGCACTTAATATTTCGAAAATTCAGGGCACGATCTCATCTTATTTATTTAAAAGCATTGATAAAAAAAAATTAAAAAATAAGTAATATTCATAAATTTTATTTAAAATAATACAAGTTTTAACTAACTTATTTTATATTTTATATTAAATATAATATATTTATCTATAATTTATATAAGATTATGGAGAAGAAAAAAAAAATAATAAGTTAATACACATACTTACAACATTTTGGGGGCTAAAAGTAATATTAAAAAAGTACTATACCGAATACCTAAATTTTTTTTTTCTTTCTTGGGAGGTCAGCTGCCGGCCACCCCACCCCCCAATGTAAATGGAGCAATTCATCAAACCCCAAATATTGTTCAAATAAAAATAAAGAGAAAAATAAAAATAAAACAAAATCTTGGACATATATTGAAGTCATATAAAATAAAAATTAAGTTATATGTATATGGTTGAGATCGAGGGTGTGGTTTCAATGGTGGAACAAAGAATTGATAGGAGGATAGACTATATATTGCGGGAGTTCAGGTGCAGCGCCCCCAACATTTTATTTTCTTTTAGGGGTGTTCAGAGAAAGGTAACATTATTAAGTAAATATACGTAGACTTAATCAAAATCATATAAAAGGAAAATTATTATTCCTAAATGAATTTAATTTTCTTCAAAATTAGATTTTTTCTTTCTTGAGTTTTGGTTGAGAAATAAAGTAGTAGGTGGACTAAGTAAGATACATTGTGTTAGCTAAATAAACCATATAAGTAGAGTTAAACAGGAGTCCACCCTAGCAATAGGGTAGCTTCGCCACAGGGTCATTTGAAGAACTGTAGTATGTGACAATGAAGATGTAAGTGGAAGGATTAACGAAGAGTTAAACTGGAAAGTAACTAAGGAAAATGATTGAACGTATGTAAAGTGGGTTAAGAGGACACAAATAAGAAGAGCGAAACAAAGTGATTGATGAATATAATTAGAAGTACGGAGAGTGGGTAAAAGGACATATAAGAAAAGAAGTACTAAATGTTTTCAATTTGGTGGTTTTTTTTCTTTATAATTTTTTTTTTTGTTGAGGAAATAAAGATCAAATTTAATTAATAAAGTGATTAAATGGTTACGAATTTCGGTCATATAACTTGGAAGAGAACTAGATTGAAAAGAGGAACTTGTTGGAAGCTTAGCGATTTCATGAGCTGGACGATTGCCTGCTCCCAGTACATGGCCGATCGTAAAAGTTTGAAAATTAATTGCGAGCTCCTTAATGTCAACAATTATGTTACATAATTCGTACGTGATATGCCATCTCCATTTACACAATAACAAGGATATTGGAGTCACTTTCAAGTGAAACTTTTGTAAATTGGAGATGTCGAGCAAATTCCATCGTCTTTAATGCAGACATAGCCGAGATTTTTCATGCAACAAACAGAAAACCAAACCACACAACACCTATCAGAAGATCAAGTTAACCCTCCTAAACCTCAACAAACCTCAGCCGAGTCAATAGATGCATCGAAGTTTATTTTGATAACATCACCGATTGGTGTTTTCCGTCGGATAGTTGGTTTTATATTTACTCGGGAAATTCTAGGACTTAGGACATCCGTGGTTGATTCCCTTACCCCAACAAGAATTTTTTTTGCAAGTTGGATTCTATCCATAGCCATCCATTGCATGTTATCAAAGAATTTATTATTTCTTGTGTACCATTATAGCCCAGCGCACCATAATGCAAAATTCGAATTGAGCACCATCAGTTTGTTTTTTAACACACATCAACCAATCCAAAAATGATGATTCATATAAATGGTGAATCGCCAATGGTATTCCATTCAGTGTCCAAAACCTGACGAGCAAAAGTACACGTGACTAAACAGTGGAGAATGTCATCTTCTTTTCCGCAACAAATATCACATGAATTCACCTCGACAATCTTCCGCCTCGCCAAATTTTGCCAGGCGGGGAGAAGATTTTTACAGTTGCGCGCGCCATAAGAAAATTTTAATTTTGTTCGATAACCGAACCCCCCAAAGCCATTTCCATGAGCCAGACATGGTTGAAGATGAGCTACTACCCATATTACACCCACTTTTATCATTATCCATTTGAACGGCAGTATGATAGGCTCCTTGAACAGAAATAATGCCGTTCGCATTATAGTGCCAAGCAATAGTATCTTCAATACTCGCATTTCCCAATGGAATAGATAATATGTAGGGAATATCTTCTTCAAGGAAAAGATTGATGATATCAGCTCCACATTCTAGTGACCTACAAAAGCTATCAATAACAGTTTGCACCTTCATCTCATTCGCCAACTCCGTCTTGGAGTAAACGGTTTAAACATAGATGCACCTGGGAGCCATTTGTCTCCCCAACTTCGCAGCATGGTTCCCTTTCCAATTCGCCATCAAGCCACTTTCTCCACCAGTACTATCGCACTCCAAATACTTCCCCACGTGTACAAATAATTTGATCAAAGGTTCGCACCAAGGATGTTGGAATGAGGATAATACCTTGCTTTAAATATTTTTTCCAATAGGTTGTGAGGTGACACTAATAGCCGTCAAACTTGTTTAGCAAGGAGTACTAAGTTAATGGCACCTAAATCTGGAAAACACAATCCTTTACCTTTTCAATCCTCCCACCAAAACTTAGCCATCAACTTCTTGATATCCTTCGTAAAATATTTAGGTAGTTTGAAGCAGCTCATAGTATAAGTTGTGATAGCTTGAATCACCGCTTTTATGAGAATCTCTTAACCTCCTTTCGAGATCCAATTCTCTTTCCGTCCTTGGAGGTACACGCACACCCTATCTCGAAGATGGTAAAAACTTCTCATTTTTATTTCCCGACCACTGAAGGCAGTCCGAGATATTTGTCATGTTTTTCCACCACTGTCATAGGGAGATTTGCGAGAACCTAAGCAATGGTTGTTTGGCTAACCGATTTTACTAAAACAATATTCTATTTTTGGTAGTTCGCCATTTGGCTAGAGGCTTTCTCATACATACGGAGGATATTCATGACACATTCAACCAAAGATTTGTTTGCATTATAAAAAATCATGGTGTCATCGGCGAAAAGTAAGTGAGATATGCTGGGTGAACCGTACAAACAACCATTTCGACAATGTGTTTATTAACTTTCCGCTCTTCTGAATAACACACTTATCATCTCAACGCAAAAAAAAAAAAAAAAAAAAAAAAAAAAAAGAAAAAAAAAAGACAAAGGTGAGAGTGGGTCACCTTGTCGAATACCTCTTTCAGGTGTAAGCAGACCAAATGAGTGACCATTAAGCACAAATGAATATCTGGCCGTGTTTATGCATAGCACGATTAATTCCGCAAAAGTGCGAGAAAACCCCAGTTTGATCATCACTTGCCGTAAGACATCTCACTCGATGCGATCATATGCTTTACTCATATACAATTTGATTGCCATATGTTCTGTTGGGCTTCGCTTCGTTTAATGGGTAACCTCGTGAGCTATGAGAATGTTATCAAATATCATCGTGAAGGAACAACCAGTGATTGGGTTTCAGACATAATTGACTTCATGTGTCGTTTTAGCCTGTGCTTTGGAAGCAATCTTATACACCACGTTACTCAAGCTAATCGCCAAAATTGCGTCATATTTTTAGTAATTGCACACTTAGGGATAAGAATAATATGAGTGTAATTACCATCTTCGCGAATCTGGTGATGGTTAAGCAATTGGAGAATCCACAGTAACATCATTGCCAACAATGTTCCAAATCGTCAAGACAAGGTAGCATGTTGGTAAGCACCTTACACCTAGGACCATTTGGTCATGGGTTCGAGACCCTAGGAGGGGAATTGGAGAACCATTAACTATCCTCCTTTTAGAAAGAAAAAAACAAAAGAAAAAACAAACAATGTTCCAAATCCGTTGCGGTCCGACCCAATGCAATGGTCCTAATTTTACATGAAAGTTATGTAACATATATGTATAATTATTATTGATTGTATAGTGATTTTCAAAAACCTTGGAATTATTTTGTATTTGGAATACGAAAATTATGAAGATTTTATATCAAATTCTGATTCCGATTCGATTATTTTCGAGAAATTCAATATCGAAATTTTAGAATCGGAATAAAAGAAACATATTTCAAAAAAAAAAAACTTTAAATTAAAAATCGGTGGAATTCGGAATTTCCATTCCGATTTCCACCTAAATAATCCGCCTAAAACACAACAAACAAAAGAATAATAATTTGAATAAGGGAGCGGCTAAAACAAATACCGTTTTCTTTTTTCACTTCAATACCAGCAACATAAAAAATAAAAAAATAAATAGTAATGACATTATTACACTTAATGAAAATCAATACTACACACAAAATTTGTGTGATATTGATTTTACTACGGATATTAATGTCTAATCCGACCGGATTGAATGTTATTACAAAATCTATTTGTATTTCTTTGAGGATTGCTGATACCAGCAATATAGAGAATGACCCGACTCTTGTTGGCTACGAGCGGGTTCGATTGATGATTCTTGGCTCGGTCGAAGGTGATAACAACTTCTCTGGTCGCCTTGAATCCTCGAGTATATTCCGTCTAGGGCATGTTCATTGTTTAACCAGTAAAAAGACCGGGAAAGTTGCTCCCGACGTTAGCACTCCGGCGCTCTAGTTAGAACACCTCTTAAATTCAGTAATATGTTCGATAAACATAAAGAGATAAATAGAGAGGAAGAGCAATGATCTTGTTGTCTCGTTTCTATTGCCGTTGTTGTTTTGAAGAAGATGATATAAACTTCTATTTTATAGTAGATATATTTTGTGGACTTCAACGAGTTTATTTAATTTACTTAATAAGGTGACTTCAAGTCCAAGCCTTAGTGAGTAAGTAATGAGGTGGCACTTGCCACCTCCCACTCGCCAGTCATTGCTCGCCGCTCGTCGCCTCTTGTGTCTCCACTCACCGCTCGCCTGCTCGCAGCCTCTACGATGTGTCTTTATTTCCTCTTTGTGCATGGGCCCAATTCAATTGGGTATGAGCTAATTCAATTGGGAGCCTTGTTGGATCGTGCTAAATCTGACCGGGTCAGTGTCATTACCTATTTATTTTCTATTTCGTATGTTGGTGGTATTGATGTGAGAAAGAAACGGTATTTGTTATAGCCATCACCATTGAATAATTTGCTTAAATTCCAACAGGAAATGAGTAATTATTGGAAGGTGAAAAAGGCCGAATGTCTGTTGGGCAGAGCGATGGGCCGGGCCGGCTTGCAAGCAAAACTAACCCATGTAACAAAAAGGCCTTTTTGAATAGTTCCCGTAAGAAAACCCTAATTTAAACAACCGGTGCTGGTGCTGCTACTTTCTCACTCTAACATTTCTCCTCTCTCTCACTAGAGAAAAAAAAAAAAAAAACCCTAGCAGAGTCCCTCACCGCCGCCGCGAAGATGCAGATCTTCGTGAAAACCCTAACGGGCAAGACAATAACACTGGAGGTAGAATCCTCCGACACGATCGACAACGTGAAGGCCAAGATCCAGGACAAGGAAGGCATCCCGCCGGACCAGCAGCGGCTCATCTTCGCCGGAAAGCAGCTGGAGGACGGCCGCACCCTCGCCGACTACAACATCCAGAAGGAGTCGACGCTCCACCTCGTCCTCCGCCTCCGCGGCGGCGCGAAGAAGCGCAAGAAGAAGACGTACACGAAGCCGAAGAAACTGAAGCACAAGAAGAAGAAGGTGAAGCTCTCAGTTCTGCAGTACTACAAGATCGACGATTCTGGAAAGGTGCAGAGGCTGAGGAAGGAGTGCCCTAACGCGGAGTGCGGCGCGGGTACTTTCATGGCCAATCATTTTGACAGGCACTACTGCGGTAAGTGTGGCCTCACCTATGTTTACGCCAAGGCTGGTGGCGATTGAGATTTTTTTTTAATTATGTTTTTGCTTTATTATTAAGACTTCTCTTTTTTTTTTTTTGGGATTGTTATACCGTTTTTTGTTCTATCGTTTCTCTGGACGGAATTCTCTGTTATTATTTAGGTTTTGTTTTTTTTTTTATTATATGAAGTTGAACTTTGTATTTGATTGCATGGTTTTTCAATCTTAAATCAGTTTGCAATTAAATGTCATGTGATGTTTTTGTTTGAGTTTTTGATTAATTGGGTGTTTTTGATCTGAAAAATGCTCTGTTTTATTTTGTGTCTAGTTATTTGATGTTATGATAATTGTTCGCTATGCAAATGTACATCATATCTGGTTTATAGATAAACCATATTATAGTCTTGGCAGACTTATAACTACCGTTTTTGTGACCTAAAAAATCTTCAACCCAAGGGCAGGATTAAAGCTTGCAATATTTATTTAATCATCATTTTAGTAAATGAATATTATCTTTATGAATTTAGAAACTGATTGTTGAATTTTGTATTTGATTGCATGATGATGTTTGGAAATGGTTGATTACTATACTAGTAGGAGAATAGGAAGATAGAAAAATGGCAATTAGGCAGAGAAGTAACCGAGTGCCAAAACCAGAAAACATTGATGGGTATTATTTGCGTATAAATTCTCCATCACATTTTGGCCGTGTTTAAGCATACCATATACAGTTTTTACCATCAAGTTTCAATAAATATGAATTCATATTTCATTATTATTTATCATATCAATCTTTCACTTTTCTCACCATTCCTCTATTCTAATATTTTTAATCATTCGAAAGCGTGCATTGTTTCATATAGAAGCATAGTTCCATTCTCATTTTCTCTTGCGAGTCAAAATGTTGAAATGATTATTTTTATCTTACAACGCGCCTCGTTTGGTTGGGGAGATTAGCCATGATTAACTAATCAATAGGACTTCCTCTGATGTTTGCCTTCTAGTCATTCTTTTTTATTGGATCATTGAAGGTCCAATAATATAATTGAGTTTCATTAGATTATTTAATCTTATCTTTGAGTTTCATTAGATTATTTAATCTTATCTTGGCAACCAAGCGAGATCCAAAGTGATGATTTTATATTTTTCCCGTGGATATTAAATGTTTGTCATGGTTATGATAGTTATAAAATTAATTGGCTCCTGATTTCTGATTGAAATATGCTATGTAATTCTCATGCTTTCTTCTCATTTTCTTGCCCAAGTAAAACTTGTTTGTTAGAAATGATTTGAATATGTGTTCTCATGGAATTCATTTTTCACATCTTGTTTTGGATCCCCTTTGGGATCTTAGAATTCATTCCGATCTTATAATATATTGAGAAATTTTGTTACTTTTCATACCTTTTGAAATACTTTGCAATGTTTTGAATATAAATAAGGTACAATATATAGCCAAGTTGAAGTCAAATAAATACATAATCAATAAAACTGGATGAATTCTCTCCCATTTTGCCCACAATGCTTCGGCTTGTCAAGTTCTTGTTGAATTCTCTACATCCACTCCGACGAAATTCGGTTGCACTGCGGTAGGATCGGGCGGAAAATTATGAGTTGGACTTTTATTAAATATTTGAATTTTGACTCCAATCCAATCAAATTGCTGCCCTATTCAACTATGTAAATGTGAACTTTAACCTATGGTCTACATTTTCGGACACAATCTCCCTTGAAATATATTAGTTTTTGCACCTTGCTCCTAGATTTCAATTTCTTTTGTCAAAATTTACATCGACACACACGATGCACGTGATTTTCATAATGACAAAAAACGTTAGTCTTTTTAGGCTTAATCCCATTTTGCACCCTTGAAATACACCATTTTGGCACTTTGCACCCTCGAAACAAATTAATAGCACTTTGCACCCTCGAAACACAATAAATCATGCATAATGCACCCCAAACGAATTTTTAAAGCTAATAATGGTAATTTAATATTTGTAGTGGTGTTTTTTTAGGCCGACAAATGTCAAATCCTTTTTTTTTTAATCCATCAATTATTTTGAAATTATAAAGTGCAAGAATAAAGATACAACTCATCAACATATTTAAAAATTATATTTTTTATCACAAAAAAAAAAAATTACGAAAAAAAATCATTCAGCTATTTCGTTATCAAGTTATCTGAAAATCATATTTATTCCAAATATTTTTACATAATATTTTCACCAGTTTCAATTAAAGATCCATCAATCGAATAATTTAGTGATACAAGTTTATTTTATTTTATTTTGTAAGAAAATATAATTGTTTTTAATAATCCGGTGTGATTTTTATTTTTTCGCACTTTGTGCGCTCGAAATTAGGTTGGAGATTGAAGAAAATAACAATTTAATTTATTAAAAAAAACCAATAAATAATGAAATTGCTTTATTATTCAATTCAGGGTGCATTGTGAATGATTTATTGTGTTTTGAGGGTGCAAAGTGCTATTATTGATTTTCAAGGGTGTAAAGTGCCAAAATGCTTCATTTCAAGGGTGCAAAGTGGGATTAAGCCGTCTTTTTAAGAGTAAAATGTGTTATAAAAATAATCTCCCTTGAAATATATTAGTTTTTGCACCTTGCTCCTAGACTTCAATTTCTTTTGTCAAAATTTACATCGACACACACGATGCACGTGATTTTCATAATGACAAAAAACGTTAGTCTTTTTAAGAGTAAAATGTGTTATAAAAACATTAAAATGCTTTAAGTGGATGTCCGATAAATAAAGGGTTATAAGCCATTAAAGTCTCTAATTAAGGAAGACTATTGTAACTTTTAGGTTTATTTGTTTTAGGGTAAATTACAAAAACCCCCCTGAGGTATGGTTGAATTACAAAAACACCCCTCTTGTTTGGATAATTACAACCACCCCCTCAACTCCTCAAATTTAGTGGAATCTTCGAGATTATATGGAATATTATCACTTTTGTACCCGTTTTATCCTATTCAAACTCTACATTATGAAGCAAGATGATCATAATATGTGATTTTTAGCTTGTATATATCAGTTTGTGGTGCATCAAAAACTGTATTTTTTTACACAAAACGAGTACAATCTAGAGCACATTTCACGGAATCTAGATGACTATGTTGAATTTGGCACCATAAAGGTGGAGGTCTAAGAAAAAATCATAGTTGAGGGGGTAGATGTAATTATCCAAACAAGAGGGGTTTTTTTGTAATTTGACCATACCTCAGGGGGGTGTTTGTAATTTACCCTTTGTTTTATAAATAAGCCTAGTTTGTAAGGCCATCTCCAACTGCTTGTTTAAAATTATTTGTCTAAACCTATAGGGGTCTTTAGCAATAAACCCCTCCAACCGCTAAGAAATAGAGATAAACCCAACCCTAAATTCATCCTTTGTAATAGCCCCTTCAGATTTTTTTACCTAAAATACCCCTCCTTTATCTACAGCATTAGTAATTATGTGGACTGCAAAAATCAATTTTGGACTGCATTTAGCAATTTCAAACTGCATGTAGCATTTTTTATTTTATTTTTTATTTTCTTTTATTTTTTAATATTTTTTAGAAATTTTTATAATCTTTTATTTAAATTTTCTTTTAGATTTTCTTTTTTAATTCTTTAAACAAAAAAATCGAATTTTTTCCCAATAATTTTACTACGCCGAATATGACTATAGTCGACTATATGTGACTATATCAACTATAGTCATATTCTTTCTTTACATTGCCGTTTTTTACATTTTCAACTTCAAAATTTCCAATTATATAGTGTACTACAGTCATGTTTACCAAATTATATAAAAACACGAAGATTGCCCATTATTTACGAAAACAATCCAATCAACATCCACACAAAAAAATACAATTTGAACCTTGTTATTACAAATCCACCTGTAGCGACACAAATACATCAAAAAATTGCGTGTATGAATTCTTCAACCATAAACAACCATCTACATCATTGTACATTAGAAAAAAAACATATATGTCGTATATATGACTATGCACGACTACATATAACTACAATATGACTACAATATGACTACAATATGACTATAGAGTTGATTCTCTTCAATTAGCCTGCTTTTTGCCCATCTTATTCAGCATCATCGATTCTTTTGGTTGCAAACTGAATTTTACACCAGAAAACTTCAGAAAACAAACTAAGATCAAGTGAAGTAGATGAATAGGGAGAAAGATACCTCAACCCCCGGCAGGGAAAACACAATATATGACTATATGTGACTATGAGCACAAGTGTTTGCAAACATAACAGGTGTAGTTAAGCGACTATACGTGACTATTATGGTATTTTATTGTTAAAATTCATAACAACCAAATGGTATGAACACTCATACATTATCAGATAAATAAAACGAATTCGAACAACATGAAACACAAAAAAAAAATATAAATCACAACTCTTATCATGCCAATCCACAATTGCCAATGCATACAAATGCATACAAACATGCACTAGGATACGAAAAAACAAAAACTCACAAAAATTAATAAAATGCATGATAATTGAAATATATGCATTCATAACAAACAAAATAATATAACTACTGTAGAACATTGTAGGGAAAAAAAAAAGTAACTATTAAAACGGACTTTGGCTTAGGAACAACACTGACCATCAACCAAAAAACTCGTTTTTTTTTTGGCATTAGGATTATAATTTGTGGGAATAACGATTTACTCCTTTAGTTCATCCTTGTATTAGGTACTCGGAGAATCTAATGTTATTTTTTTTTTCTCTAATTTTCATGCTATTATAACCATTTAACTAAAAAAAATTAAAATAAAATAAAATAATATAATTGAAAATTCAGATCCATAAATTATACCGGTTAATTTGTAGATATTCAACAGTTGCGGTTTTGGCAAGGACGGCGGCGGCGATTTTGACGGAGGGCGGCGGCTGTGGCGAGAACATGGACGGCGTGGGATAATTTGTAGATCTCCATCGGTGTCCTGCTGCTACTCCTTTGAATCCTTTACCGTTTGTGTTTGTCGATTCCTGCCGCCGGGATCTTCTGTTGCCGCCTCAATTTTTTTGTGGTGGAAAAATTAGATCTAGGGTTTGGTAGGATGAAGAACAGAGAAAAGAGAAGAAAAAAAACAATTGAGTAACGAGAGATGACGATTGGGAGCGGAAGAAAAATAATTAGCGCCGTGATCTTCTGTGTCGCCTCAATCTTTTTGTGGTGGAAAAATTAGATCTAGGGTTTGGTATAATGAAGAACAGAGAAAAGAGAAGAGAAAAAAACAATTGAGAAACGAGAGATGACGATTGGTAGCAGAAGAAAAATAATTAGAATTTAGGAATATTGTGGTTGAGGGTACTTTTGTCTTATCACATAGGTCTAGGGGGTCTCACAAATTAAAACTGAGATTTGGGTATAGGCAAAAGTCTATAAAGTCAATTGGGTTTATTTCAATATATTTCCCATATGAGGGGGGTATTGCATATTTCCCCAAACCTATAATATAGCAAACGAATAGTGTTATGCATAATCACTTTTAATATTACACTTCAACAGTATTGTTTTATATTTACACAATTATTGTATTTAATATTTTGTCAATAATTTAGTTTTCAATAAGTTTCTACAGGTGACCATTTGAAAAATTGATTGATAAATTAATAATAATTATTATTTGAATACTCTTACTAAATAAATATGACTACTATATTCCAAAGGCTAATATATTAGATATCTCAATTCTTAATTAACACGAAGACAAGAAAATTTACTTGAGAGAAGAAGAAAATGATTCAAACACAGACGAGCAATTGAAAAAGTTGGATTTGAATTTTTGCAGATTTAGTGATTAAAGGGAGCAAAGCTTGATTATTATTCATAATTTGTTAAATTTTTATCTTGGTTTCTCAATTTTAAGAAACCATAGTTAAAATTTTACATCTTCACAACTTTTACATTTCCTTGTTGGAGTAGTAATATTTGACTTTTGTTATTTAAAAGATGTAAATTATATCTTTACATGGATTGTTGGAGTCGCCCTAATACAACACACATTGAGGATAAGAAAGAACAATAACAAATGTTCTCTTCTCTATATATTTCAGGTCTCAATTCCTTTTTTCCTTTTATATTTTTGTAGTAGATTTCTTGTTCCCGGCATAAAATGGGTAGTGAATTTAGTAAAATGGTCGAATAAATTTGTTGGTGAAAATACGAAAAGATTAGCCGAGGCGAGTAAACTCTTTCTTTAACATGATATTTCCCCGTTACGGTGCTTTTAGTTATATGACAATCGTCTCCCAAGATACAACGGCTAAACTATGAATATGAGCACTCAAAATCTCGAGTACAACGAACGTTACTTTGTGACTCAAACTCTAACGTGTCTCAAACTCTCAAATCAAATACGAAAGGAAATACTATGCGAAGAATTTTTCCGGGCTAAAGAAAGAAGAATTTCATAGAACAAAATTATGGAATCGAATTAATTTTCTATTTTTATGTTTTAAAATAAAACATGTGGAGTTTTTATTTATAGTTTCCAACAGTTGTGATTAATCAACACAACCCTTAGAAATTTAAACAAATGAATAGGTGTGGCCACACCTCTTCATACTGTCACACCTATTTGATCAAATAGGTGCCTAAAAACTTTTTTTAATTTTCATTCCAAAATATTTTTATTTTATTAATAAAATTTCCAACAATCCCCCACATGAATGAAATTAACGAAAAACGATGGATTCTATCGAGAGTTCAAGTGTACACTATTGCATTGGGGATATGTAGCTTATGACTTTGAACCTTCCTTAGCGGTATACCATCAGATTTACTTGGCTAGTTAGTGAACGCGATGTCTTGAACTGCCAGCCGTTTGTGTAAACCAAGACAATAATATCCACACAATAGTTTTCCCACATTTCACCAGTTCTCACGGTTGCGTCCATTTTGGCCCTGGAGCACATCTTGGATTCATAAGTATTTGTCATTTTGATGCGGCCCACACTTCTACACTTAGATAGATGATGTCCTATTAAAGGTATCCTCATAATACCTCACCTTTTGTCAAGGTTTTGGAATCATTAAAAGCTTTCGCTTATCATTTACCCTCTCTGCAGGCAACACTAAATGTCTATCACGAGAATGAGTTGGAAATATATAATTTCATAGGAATATATACTCCTTAGTGCATCACCGAATTTCCATAGCTTAGTTGTCCCTTTTGAACCAGTTCTTGGGATCTCAGGTCATCATGATTGGGTTACCACTATAAAAATTCTTAATTTGTAGGTTTTAATCTCACTCCCTTAGACATGCAATATGTTTGATCTCTTTAGTTGACTTTTAGTCGCGGATCCGCTATTGACCATTGATTTACATAATCTATGTTAATTATTTATTTTGGGATCAATTGCGTAATGGTCTTATGTGTATGACGAATGTGTCGATACTTGCCATTGTACATGTCGTTTGTGCCCTTATCGTAACCGATTGACTATCGCAATTTATTCCTAATTGCAGGCACCGACTTAGTCCAACACAGAACATCATCCAATAATTGTATGAAGTTTATTCACCTTCTTTTCTAACTTTATCTCAAGTTATATATTCGAATTCCACCACGAATCGAACTATTCATTTTTCTTTGAGGATTTCCAAAATACATAATCTTAGTGGACTCATATATCCAATGTACTTTTCTAATACAATTGGATATTTTCTTTAATGTAATCCATTTAAAGGCGATACTTAGATTACATAAAAACCCTTATAATATCATTGATAATTATTTATTACTAGTTTGCAATCCATTATACTGCTAAACTATCCTAAAATATTTGTAATTGAACTAATGTTCTTCATTATTTTTGGCAAAGTAAAGATTTGGTCTTTAGACAACTAGATCAATTTTCTAGTAGTATCTCAACATGTGACTTTCAATAAGACTATCTTTGTCTTAGTGAATTTAATCTATAAGATTACATCATCTAGACCCTCGTCTTTCACATCAATTTTTTTTTTGTCAATATTTTCTCAACAATCAAAATAATATCATGATCATTATCTCATGATTATAATGTCGTTTATAGACATATACTTCCATGTGCTTTTAATATAAACACACTGGCCACACTCATTATTACGAGAATTTTATAACACAATTTTTTCAAATATTACTTTAGAATGTCTTAACGGATTCCAATATCATGTTATAAATAATAAAAAAAAAAATCATAGCTACTAATTTAGTTATTAATTATATAAATTAATAAACTCCACTATTGAAAAATATAAAGAATACTCAATTAAATATAGACAAATGCATGACTTAATATAAGATGTTTATTAAATCGATAGTGTTACAAATTCGAATAAAAAATAAAATAAGATGTTTATTTAGAAGAAAAAAATAGTTTATAACTCATTCCAATTAGTGTTCTTACTTTAAAATAAAACTATATACTCAAAATACTATATTGTGATTTTTCTTTTAATATGTAGTTTAATCAAATAGTAAGATTTGATTGATTAAGCTCAAATCCTTTTAGTTAGTAAACGATAATCAAAGATTTTAATTAATGAAGCTTAATAATTGATAAGACCATATTATTTGAAGTAACTATTTATAATTAAAGTCTAATATCATTTTAATTCAATTTTATCCTAACAATAATATAGTTATTTCCTCACATATATAAGAATCAAATCGTAATACTTGAATCGATTAAGCTCAAGTTCGTTCAGTAAATATGTTTCAAAGATTTGAATCGATTAAGTTCAACCATTGACAAGAACGTATTAATCGAGTTAACTATTTATAATTAAAGCCTAATATCCTTTTAATTCAATTTCAATAAAAAAATAAAAATAAATTTAATTTGTAAAAATTGTAAGAATCAAATCGTAAGATTTAATTTAATCATAATATTTGAATCGATTAAATCTTACGATCTTACGATTTTTACAAATTAAATTTTATTCTTGTTATGATAAAATTCAATAAAAAAATACTAAACTTTAAATATACATAGTTACTTCGATTAATACATTATTGTAAATTGTTGAGTTTAACCGATTCAAATATTTGAATATTGTCTACGAATTGAAATGACTTGAGATTAATCGATTCAAATCTTTGAATATTGTTTTCGAATTGAACACACATGAGCTTAATTGATTCAAATCTAACTTCAAATAATTTCAAAATCCATTTTTAAATTACACGAGTTAATCTGCATTTCCTTAGAAATTTAAAATTAATTATATATAGATCTGTTAATATTGGATATTTTAATATATAATAATTTTTATTATATGAGAATTAGTAATTTATTTAATATTATTTTTTATAAGTTTTATAATCATTATACACTGTAGGGTTGTGATATATATACTTATTTTTAGATAATAATCAATAATGTATTGTGTCCTAATGGTAAGTATTCTCGTATGGATTAAGGGGTTCCAAGTTCAGATGCTATAGGATTTATTTTTGATCGAGTGGTTTAAATGTATAATTGACTTTACAAATATAGCAATAAGATAATAACCATTAATATTCTATTGTATCTCTATTCATTCAAACCCTTTTATGTTCACTGATATAATTTTTCTCAAAAGATTTACTTGTATAATTTACATTTTTTTTCCTTATCTTTTTTTTCTTCCTCCTTTTTGAGAGTTACATAAACGTTATCGGACCCAAAATTAATTTTTATTACCATAATTTAAATGGTAAATGAGTACTCGTGGTGGGTACTCGGATATTCGTGGTAATAATTCTGGTATTTCCATTAACTTTTTAAATGAGTTTGGTAAGATTTGAGCTATATTAAATGATATTGGTTCTGGTATTGCACTTTTTCGAGAGTACCGGCTCCACTGCCATCCCTAATCTCATATCATTTGGTTTAATATATATACTAATACATTTGTGTTTATAGACACAAAACAT